GCAACCCATCCACACACACACACACTGCAACACACACACAGAACATACAGCAAACGTGCAATGTGTAACACAACACACGTTGCACACATGGCAACATGCAGTGCACATGCAACACGCAGTGTGTGACACAGAACATGCAAAACAACGTGCAACATGCAATGTGCAACGTGAAACACAGCACACACAACATGCAACACACAACACAGAAGTGCTGGAGCTCACCAGGAGGTGGAAGCGCTGTGGGGCGGGGGGCGGCCCCATATGGTGCAGCTGCAGCCGCAGCTCTTCCCCAGGACGGAGTGACCCCCGGGGACCCCCCAGCACTAGGAACTGCCCAGACACTGCTGTCATTGGAGTCACCAACAGCTGTGCCCGTGCTGGGGAGACACCAGGCTGTCCTGCTTCCACCTGAGGGTCCCACAGACACCACAGTGCATGGAGTGCCCATGTCTCATATTACACATCCCACCTCCCACATCCCATATCCCCATGTTCCCATGTCCTCATATAGTCCCCATATCCCCCACCCCGTGTCCCCACGTCTGTCCCCACTCACGCTCAGCTCCATCCTGGTGGCTCCTTTGGGGACATTGATGGGGACAGTGATGTCCCCACTGTTGTCCGCCCGCAGCTCTATGAGGGGTGGTGCCAGGGCTCCAGTCACCCCCACTTTCACTCTCACGGGGACCCCCGGGGCTGTGCCTCCCCCAGCCTGCAGCACCTGGCCCTGTGGGAGCACCATAACACGCACCAGGTGAGAACGGAGCATGCACATGGCCTCACACAAGAATGCAAAAGCATGCCCCAAACATGCAGACATCTGCACCCCTTTGCAAAGGCACGCCCAGATTTGCACACGTGCTCACCAGGAGGGTGTAGGGCGCTCCGGGCACGAAGAACCGCGCGCTCCTCTGCAGCTGCAGCGCCCATTGGGACAGAACCAGCGGCACCAGCAGCTCCCGCTCCACGAGTTCCCCCCCTGCGAGACATCGTCAGGCCACGCCCCCTCCTCACCACGCCCCTTGCTCACGCCCACCCCGTAACCACGCCCATTTCTGTGGCCACGCCCCCTTCGTGACCTCACCCCACTTCGGGATCCCAAATCCCCCTGAGATAACACGGGATCCTAAAATACCCCGAGGGACCCCAAAGTCTTCCTGTAACCCTCAAACTCGAAAACACCTTTGAAACCCCAAAGCCTCCACAAGACTCCAAAACCCTTCTGGGACCCCAAAAACTCCCTTGGGACCCCAAAAGCTTCCGGGCCCCGCCCCCTTCCCCGAAGCCACGCCCACCTGCCGATTCGACCACGCCCACCGCCAGGCGCAGCAGCGCCCCGTGCAGGTCTGTCAGCGCAACGCCCGCAGCTTTGGCCACGCCCACCAGGGGCACCTCCAGGGAGGCGTGGCCTTCCGTCACCTGGGGGCGGGGCCACAGGGGGCGGGGTTAGTGAGAAGGGGCGTGGTTATGGGAAATGGGGCGTGGTTATGAGAACGGGGTGGGGCTATGGGAAGGGTGGGGTTATGGGAAGGAGCAGGGCCAAACCCCCCTGTAGGTTTTGGGGTCTCACCTGACACTGCTGCTCCAGACCCCGCAGGAAGCGACCCCCCCGGCCCCCGGCATCCCGCAGCCCCACGCGCAGCTGTGCACGGCCCCACACTGGTGCTCCATCTGGGAATCTGGGGGTCCAAAGGGTCAGTGGGATCAGAAGGCCCTCAGAGGTTAATAGGGTCAGGGGGAGGGATCCCAAAGGCGAATAAGGTCAAAGGGAGAGATCCCAAAAGTTAATAGGGACAAGGTGCCCCAGAGGTCAATAGGGCTGAGGGAACCCACAAGGACTGACCCCAAAGGACATCAGGGCCACTGATTTAGGGTGGTCTGGAGGGGAATTTGGGAAATTTAGGAGAGTTGGAAGGGATTTGGGAGATTCTGGAGAAGATGGATGGAGATTTTGGTGGGAATTTGTGGGAGATCGGGTGGGATCTGGGGGGATTTTTTCTCCAGGGGTCCCGTACTGGACGTGCAGGTGGATGCGCAGTGGGGCTGGTTCAGGGTCACTCAGCACAACGAAGCCACGCTCGGGGCGGATGCGCACCTCGAAGCCAGGCAGCACTGGGGACAACATATGGGGTTACGGGGGGTATGGGGGCACAGCAGGGACCCCCCGGACCTTACTCACCATATTTGCGCACCTCGAAGGCGGTGGAGCCATTGGTGTTGGGACTGGCAGCCAACTGTGCCCGTATGTGCCATGTCCCTGGGCTGGGGACACAGGGGCATGATGACCCTATGGCTCCCACAGGGGCTCTCTGGTGTCCTATAACCTCCCACAACTCTGTATGGCCCCTATGGTGTGCTATGGCCCCCTACAGGCTCCTGTGGTTCCCTATAGGCTCCTGTAATCTGCTATGGTCTTCTATAGACCCTATAGTCCCTTATAGCCCTCCTCATAGACCCCTATGAACCTCTAGAGCCCTCCAGAGCCCTTATGGCCCCTTATATTCTATAGCTCCTCAGGGTCGCTATGGTCCTTATGGTTCCCCATATCCACCTACAACCCCTGTAGACCCCTATAGCCCCTAAGGTGACCTACAGTTCCCCGCAAAGCCCCTTATAGTCCCACCTAGATCCCTGTAGTCCCCCATAGTGCCTATCACCCCTATGGTGTCCTATAGCTCCCCACAACCCCCTATAGTTTCTATGGCCACTATAATGCCCCAGTAACCCCCACTACTCTGGCCCATCTGCAGCCCCTGTAGCCCCAAATACCCATAGCCCCCCATAGCCCCCATCCCAGCCCCCTATAGCCCCACTCACAGTGCGATGTCAGGCAGCACCAGTTGGTCACTCAGCACCGTGTCCAGGGGCACCCGCTGCACCTCCCGTACTCGTGCACCCAGTGGGTTCTGGGGGACACAGGGGTACAGGGTGAAACCCCAGCCTTGTAGGGCCACCCCAAACCCTACAGGGTCACCTACAGCCCCAGCCTTATAGAGCCCATACCGTGATAGTGACCAGGATGGGTTCAGGGTTCGGCTGTAGGTCGGGGTCCATGGAGAAGACCCGGAAACGCACTGGGGACAAAGAGACATATGGGGACAGGTGGGGGTTATGGATTTAGGGATTTAGAGTACATTTGGTGGACTTTGGGTGACCAGGAGCATTTGTGGTGTGTTGGGGTGAATTTGGGGGAAACGGTTCAATGTAGGATGAAAATGGGTGGATTTGGGGGAATTTGGGGAATTGATGGTGGATTTGGAGGGGCTTTGGGGAGAATTTTGGGGTTGATTTAGGGGAGTTGGAGCATTTGGAGCACTGGGGGAAGAATCATGGGCAGATGAGGGATGGCTTTAGGGTTTGGGGGCCCTACAGGTGGATTTGGGGCACTCACCAGTCTGTCGGGGGGCGTAGAGAGGTTTGTCTGTCTGCACAATGAGGTGACCCCGTGCCCCCCCCAGGGCCACACGCAGACTCCGGGTGCTGGGGGGGGACAGGTGGGGGCTGTGGGCTTCCAGGAGCAGCCCCCGACCCCACAGAGCCCCACAGCGCTCAGCCTGCACTGGGGTGACCTACAGGAGACATGGGGACACAGCAGGAGACATTTGGGTTATGGGGATATGGGGGAAACTGGGGAAATGGGAGCTCTGAGGAAGGAGGTGTGAGGTGACATGGGTGACATGGCAGGAGGGGACCCAAGGGTGCACATGTCCCTGTGTGCCACGGGGATGTCCCCAACCCCCTCACCCCACAGGAACACCCCAGAGTGCATGTGCTCCATAGGGACAACCCCCATTGTCCCCACGTCCCACAGTGTCCCCATACCTCAATGTGCAGGAGCTGGTTGAAGTTGTTGTGGGGTGTGAGGGCAAATGGGACTGGGAGGGCGCAGGGCCCGGCCCCACGGTCCATCTCAGCCCATGCAGTCACCGTCCCCGTCACTGGCCCCACAGCTGCCACCAACAGCCCCATGGGGGTCCCCAGGGCCACGCGTCGGGGGGCCACCAGCACCAACCTGAGGGAACACTGCTTGAGCTACCAGCCCCATAGCTGCTCCATAAGCCCTGCCAGATCCCATAAGCATGCAGACACCCCTTAGGTCCATAGTTCCTCCCAGATCCTATAGGAAACCCCCCCAGCTCTGGCCCCATAACCCCCCCAACCACACAGAAATCTCCCTCAGTCTCACCAGGCTCCATCACACCACAATCCTATATCTGCCCCCAGCCCCAACAGTGCCCCATAATCCCTCACAGATGTTGCAAGACATTCATAGTCCCATAGCTACCCCACAACCAACCCCAACCCCATATCTACCCCAACCCCAACCCGCATAACCCCATACTCAGGGTCCTGGGAGCTGCCATCCATTAAGGGAGTGAGGAAGAGGAGGAGGAAGAGGCTTAAGGCCCAGCGAGGCCCCATGGCTCCGGTGGTGTGGGGCAGATGGGGGTAGCAGTGCAGAGACAGTGGGGTTGTGGTCAATCATTAACAGGGGGTGGACATCGGGGTCCACCTGCAGACCCTGAGGGCATCGACCTCAGCTGTACCCACGTGGATGTTGGGAAGCGGTGTGAGGCGGTGCTGTGGGGAAATGGCACTGATCCCAAAGGGAGCCCTGGGGACACCACTGTCACTGCCCTCCCCCAGGCCACGGAGCCGCTGACCCTATGGATGTGACCCCCCCAAACAGTTCCTTGAATGGAATGGAGAATGACTCCTCCTCACTGCCCGCGTCCCGCCGACAGAAACCCTCGGCCCTCTCTCCTGGATCAGGGACACGGCCCCGGTGCGGACACAGCCCGAGTTTCCCCCCCGCTGCTCGGAGGCCCGGGGGGTTCCCACACCGCGCCCGTCCCCTCCCCCGCTCCGCGCTTTCGCTTTCGCTTCACAACCTGCGGGAACACATTCTGCCTGGCGCCCGGTGACGTCACGCACGCTCCCGTCCGCCATTGGCGGGGGGGAGGCGGAGGAACCAACGGGGGCGCGGGGCGGTGCTGAGGAGTCCAAAAAGCCGAAGGAGCGGCGCGGGGAGCGGAGCCGTGCGGAGCCATGGGGCCGTGCGGGGCCCTGGGCTGGGGGCTGCTGCTGCTGCTCAGCGCCGTGTGCGGGGCGGCGGGCGGTGAGTGCGGCCGGATCGGGACCCCTCCCTGCCCGTAACCCCGGCCCGGGGCTGTGCCCGTGGGACCCCCACCCACGGCTCACGGCCCCGCTGCGCTCCGGCCCGCAGAGCCACACTCCCTGCGGTACATCCACACCGGGATGACGGATCCCGGCCCCGGGCTGCCCTGGTTCGTGTCTGTGGGGTACGTGGACGGCGAGATCTTCGTGCACTATGACAACAATACGCGGAGGGACGTGCCCCGCACCGAGTGGATGGCGGCCAACATGGACCAGCAGTACTGGGACAGACAGACGGAGATCTCACAGAGGAATGAGCAGATTTACCGCGGGAACCTGAACACGCTGCGGGAACGCTACAACCAGAGCGGCGGTGAGCACGGCCGGGGCCGCGGCTCCGTGGGTGCGGGGCGGGGCTCCATGGCGCAGTGCCGCCCGCGCCCCCAGGCCTGGCCCTGCCCGGCGGCACCGTCCCGGGGCTGCCCGTCACAGCGCCACCGAGCTCGGGGTGCTGCGTCCCGGGGACCCCAACCCATCCCCACTGCAGTGGGACCCCGGAGCCGGAGGGGCCCCTCACCCCCTGCCCGCTGTGTTTCAGGGTCTCACACATTGCAGTGGATGTCGGGCTGTGACATCCTCAAGGACGGCACCACCCGGGGGTATCATCAGGTGGCGTATGATGGGAGAGACTTCATTGCCTTCGACAAAGACATGAAGACGTTCACTGCGGCAGTTCCAGAGGCAGTTCCCACCAAGAGGAAATGGGAGGACGATGGGAGCATTGCTGAGGGGTTGAAGAATTACCTGCAGGAAACCTGTGTGGAGTGGCTGCGAAGATACATGGAACATGGGAAGGCAGAGCTGGGCAGGAGAGGTGAGTGGGGGGGGCTACGGTGTGGGGCTGGAGGTGGGGCGGGGGCTCAGCGTGGGGAGTTCAGCTCAGCCCTCACTGATGCCCGCCCGCAGAGCGGCCCGAGGTGCGAGTGTGGGGGAAGGAGGCCGACGGGATCCTGACCTTGTCCTGCCGCGCTCACGGCTTCTACCCGCGGCCCATCGTCGTCAGCTGGATGAAGGATGGCGAGGAGCAGCACCAGGACACCCAGACGGGGGGCATCGTGCCCAACAGCGACGGCACCTACCACACCTGGGTCACCATCGATGCGCGGCCAGAGCACAGGGACAAGTACCAGTGCCGCGTGGAGCACGACAGCCTGCAACCGGCCGGCCTCTACTCGTGGGGTGAGTGAGGTGCTGTGGGGCTGAGGGGCTCCGGGCTGCCCCTTCCCTGCTGACGGCCCCGCTCTCCCCCAGAACCATCAAAGCCCAACCTGGTCCCCATCGTGGTGGGGGTGATCGTCGCCATTGTGGCCATCGCCATCGTGGTTGGTGTTGGGTTCATCATCTACAGAAGACATGCAGGTAAAAGCAGAGGGGTGAGGAGAACAGCGGGGGCTGTGGGGGGATCCGAGGTCCCCTTGGGAGCCCCCAGACTGGCCGTGATGCGAACCTATGCTGACGCATCTCTCTGTCTGCAGGGAAGAAAGGGAAGGGCTACAACGTTGCCCCTGGTGAGTGATGAGAGCAGAGCTGTCCCCCCCCTCTGCCCGGTGCCAGGGTGGTCCTGGGGTCCCTGCTTTCTCCCAGGGTTCTCATTCCTGGTGCTCGGGGCTGCTCTATGCCCCATAGTGAGCACCGGGCTGGGGCTTATGGCTGTTTCTCCCTTACAGCCCAGGATGGTGGATCCAACAGCTCAGCCACAGGTGCAGTGTG